AAAGAGCATCATCTGTGAACTGGAACATCTGAGCAAATGACAGTGTACAGCAAGGATCAGACATCTGTAGATATCCAATTAAACATAGTTTTTTTTTAAAATAACAGTTCATCATGATGGAAAATGGCTATATAATAGAAATGAGAGGTATGCTGGATAACCCAGTGTTCGCTCTCTTTCTTTCTCTCTCTCTCTCTCTCTCTCTCCCTCTCTCCCTCTCTCTCTTCACAAAAGACAGTCTCAACATTTATTCTTAGCCACACAATGTAATCAAAAGACAAAGCAGTTCTTTATTTGCCTGCTATTTTAACTACTTTTAATTATCTAGTACTGTTTTCTCTCTTTATAGAAATATCAATGCGGAACTGTTATTCAATATACCCTAGTTCTTTAAAATCATTAACATATCTTGAAATGGATGGCAGACACCTGCCATCCAGCTAAAAATACAAGAGGAAAAAGCCCTTTATTACTTAAAAAAACAATCATATCAAAACTGAATTATTTTTAACGGCTATGTTCCTAGTATAGGAACTCATTTAAAGTGGACTTTGACAGCAAAAAAATGTAATGAGAGGAGACTCTAATAGGAAGGATGTTACTACAGCATTTAGTAGAAATGTAAGCTGATTCCATTATCTTTGCAGAGCAAAACCTCTGACATTTTCAGCTGCCAGTGGACTATTCCTAGTTTTTCATATGACATACGAAGAGGAAGATCAGAAGAGACTGACTTCTCTGATCCATAACCCAAATGCCAAATGAGGTTACCTAGAGACATCATAATGAATGATGCAGAATGGTGAACATTGCAGTCTTAAGGCCAAAAGAAATGAGGGCTCCCTTGTGATAAGAGGCTGAACCTTTCAGAAAATGAAATATTTGTGCTGGGGAAATCCTTGTGTTAGACCAATGGCTTCATTCAATATAAACAGCCCCTTTTATTTCTTTCTAAACATGCCCAAAAGAAATTTGAGGCATGTTGTAAAGAATTTGTAAATATCTAAAACTACATAGTTGTTCTTCCATCACTGCTACTAGCTCTTTAATCCCTGCTGTATCATTTGTAACTGTCAATTCTATTATTAATCTTGTGTAAGTGTGTGCATGTGTTCCATAATTATAGACTTTCAACTGTGCTATTAATCATATTCATTGACAAATCATCTCGGGTTGTCTTTCAGCTCGCTGGTATCACCTCTCCCTGCCACCAAGAAAGTTTCAGAGAAAGCTTGGAGATTTCCATGAGCATTTGGTGGGCAACTCAGCTAGGGCCTTAGCTGCTGCCTAGAATGTGGGTGGATGGGTGGGGCTTTGGACTATATAGCTCCTAAATATATTGATATACTCAATTATAACTTTAGTTTCAAGGGCCACCCAAGTTAGGTCAAGGTTCTGTCCCACTATTTGGAAGCTAGTTAGGTTTCAGGAGCCACCATCTCTGATTCAAACTGGCTGTCAGTTTGTTTTAAAGCACATTTTTAAAGATGATAAAAATAAATTATGCAATCTTTAAATTGGAAATTTGTCCAGGATACCCATTTGAGTCAGAAGAGCAATTTCTTGATGTGGCAAATGGCCAAAGGCTTCTTGCTCTCAGGGAAGCATGTGATGCACCCATGACAAATTAATGGTTGCAACCCAACTATGGCTTCTTTGTATTTACTGTGATAAATTGGTAAAATAATTGAAATAAAGTTGGGATTCATTCTATTCCCCCCTCCCCTTTTAATGGGAAATGGGATATATATATCCTACACACACACACACACACACACACACACAGAGAGAGAGAGAGAGAGAGAGAGATAAAATACTGATCATAATGACATTTTTTCATTAAGAGATGATTAAACATNATCTGAGTCAGTAGCCAGGTAGCACTAAGACACTGGGTAACATGAAGAAATAGAAAGCTAGCACCAGTTCAAGGACTGTCTCCACTGATCAAAAGATACGATCGTAACCAGAGACTCCCTTGTCAGGTTACAGGATGCAATTGCCATAACGCTGCTTGATTATTATGCCAGTTCAAGGATATACCTTTGAAAAAGCCACAGAGGTCACAGTCTCAGATACATTTAAACTACCACAGACTCTCAGAAAGATGAGGTGAAGAGTACAAAATGCACAAGAGTGAAATAAGAGGACGGAGCACACAGAGTAAAGAGCATCATCTGTGAACTGGAACATCTGAGCAAATGACAGTGTACAGCAAGGATCAGACATCTGTAGATATCCAATTAAACATAGTTTTTTTTTAAAATAACAGTTCATCATGATGGAAAATGGCTATATAATAGAAATGAGAGGTATGCTGGATAACCCAGTGTTCGCTCTCTTTCTTTCTCTCTCTCTCTCTCTCTCTCTCTCCCTCTCTCCCTCTCTCTCTTCACAAAAGACAGTCTCAACATTTATTCTTAGCCACACAATGTAATCAAAAGACAAAGCAGTTCTTTATTTGCCTGCTATTTTAACTACTTTTAATTATCTAGTACTGTTTTCTCTCTTTATAGAAATATCAATGCGGAACTGTTATTCAATATACCCTAGTTCTTTAAAATCATTAACATATCTTGAAATGGATGGCAGACACCTGCCATCCAGCTAAAAATACAAGAGGAAAAAGCCCTTTATTACTTAAAAAAACAATCATATCAAAACTGAATTATTTTTAACGGCTATGTTCCTAGTATAGGAACTCATTTAAAGTGGACTTTGACAGCAAAAAAATGTAATGAGAGGAGACTCTAATAGGAAGGATGTTACTACAGCATTTAGTAGAAATGTAAGCTGATTCCATTATCTTTGCAGAGCAAAACCTCTGACATTTTCAGCTGCCAGTGGACTATTCCTAGTTTTTCATATGACATACGAAGAGGAAGATCAGAAGAGACTGACTTCTCTGATCCATAACCCAAATGCCAAATGAGGTTACCTAGAGACATCATAATGAATGATGCAGAATGGTGAACATTGCAGTCTTAAGGCCAAAAGAAATGAGGGCTCCCTTGTGATAAGAGGCTGAACCTTTCAGAAAATGAAATATTTGTGCTGGGGAAATCCTTGTGTTAGACCAATGGCTTCATTCAATATAAACAGCCCCTTTTATTTCTTTCTAAACATGCCCAAAAGAAATTTGAGGCATGTTGTAAAGAATTTGTAAATATCTAAAACTACATAGTTGTTCTTCCATCACTGCTACTAGCTCTTTAATCCCTGCTGTATCATTTGTAACTGTCAATTCTATTATTAATCTTGTGTAAGTGTGTGCATGTGTTCCATAATTATAGACTTTCAACTGTGCTATTAATCATATTCATTGACAAATCATCTCGGGTTGTCTTTCAGCTCGCTGGTATCACCTCTCCCTGCCACCAAGAAAGTTTCAGAGAAAGCTTGGAGATTTCCATGAGCATTTGGTGGGCAACTCAGCTAGGGCCTTAGCTGCTGCCTAGAATGTGGGTGGATGGGTGGGGCTTTGGACTATATAGCTCCTAAATATATTGATATACTCAATTATAACTTTAGTTTCAAGGGCCACCCAAGTTAGGTCAAGGTTCTGTCCCACTATTTGGAAGCTAGTTAGGTTTCAGGAGCCACCATCTCTGATTCAAACTGGCTGTCAGTTTGTTTTAAAGCACATTTTTAAAGATGATAAAAATAAATTATGCAATCTTTAAATTGGAAATTTGTCCAGGATACCCATTTGAGTCAGAAGAGCAATTTCTTGATGTGGCAAATGGCCAAAGGCTTCTTGCTCTCAGGGAAGCATGTGATGCACCCATGACAAATTAATGGTTGCAACCCAACTATGGCTTCTTTGTATTTACTGTGATAAATTGGTAAAATAATTGAAATAAAGTTGGGATTCATTCTATTCCCCCCTCCCCTTTTAATGGGAAATGGGATATATATATCCTACACACACACACACACACACACACACACAGAGAGAGAGAGAGAGAGAGAGAGATAAAATACTGATCATAATGACATTTTTTCATTAAGAGATGATTAAACATATTTTCAATGAAACAGCAAAAGAGTGATAGAAAATGTACGGCAGTTTGAGAGAGAAACCANCCAGCGTTCGCTGGCTGGGGAATTCTGGGAGTTGAAGTCCAGACATCTTCAAGTTGCCAAGGTTGAGAAACACTGTTCTAAAATCATATGTTAGCTTTCAAGCAAGAATCGTCCTCAGTTCTTCCCAAAAAGGCTATCTAGGATTACACCTAGTTAGAGGTTGGATGGGAGGCCATTGGGACATCCCAATGTCATTGACAAGACCTGACCGAAGATGGATGAAAGGAAGAGGAGGAGGAGGAGGATCTCAGACTTAAAAAATTGTTGATAAGAAAGACCAAAAAGTTTGGATAGTGGATGTGGCATCACCTGGAGACAGCAGAATAGAAGGGGGAAAAACCCCGGGAGAAAAATCACCAAACATACAAAGATATGCAAATAGAAGTAGAATGACTGTGGCAAAGGAAAGCAAAGGCAGTACCAATAGTGATAGGCCCCAAGGGTGCAATATCAAAATATCTGGAGCTCCACTTGAACACCATCAACACTAACAAAATGGAGGAAGAGGAAAGATAGAGAAGGATTAGAAGGAGTGATGGAAGGGAGGAGAGGGGAGAGGAGGAGGAGGAGATAGATAATGAGTAAGAAAGGAGAAGGAGGAGAAGGAAGAAGGAGGAGGAGGAGGCGGAGGAGGAGGAGGAGGAGGAGAAGGAGGAGGAGGAGGAGAAAAAGAAGGAGGAGAAGAAGAAAAAGGAGAAGAAGAAAAAGGAGAAGAAGAAAGAGGAGAAGGAGAAGAAGCAGAAGGAGGAGAAAGAGGAGGAGGAGGAGGAGGAGGAAGAGGAGAAGGAGGAGGAGGAGAAGGAGGAGAAGGACAATGGGGAGGAGGAGGAGAAGAAGGAGAAGAAGGAGGGAGAAGGAGAAGAGGAGGAGGAGGAGGAGGAGGAAGAAGAAAAAAACAACCCCCCACCACTGACCTGTAATGAGTTCTCGTACTTCCATATCATTCGTCTTGCGCAACAACCGGATCAAAGCTGGGATCCCATCGCAGTTCTTGATGGCCACTTTGTTCTCATTATCCTTCCCATAGGATATGTTCCGGAGGGCCCCACATGCTTTGCGGTGGACCTCAGGCTTGGGATGGTCCAGCAGACCCACCAGGATAGGGATGCCCTTGAGATGCCTCACGTCCTTCTTGATCTTATCGTTCTCATAGCAGAGATGCTGGAGGTAGGCAGCTGCGTTGGATTTCACGGGATCGATGGGATGGCTGAGCATGGCGATGACCTCGGGCAGATCCGGGTCTCGCCACCGGGGGTCTTTGCGGATGCTGTCAATGGAGGGGGAGCGCTTGCCCAGGCGGTCGATGCTGGCCATGCTACCCCTTTCGGGTTGCGCCAAAGGTGCTGCGTAGCTGCCATGCAAGTAAGGAATCCTCTCATTGACGATTTCGCTCTCAATCGGATCCTCATAGCTCCTGCTGAGAAAGGAACCATAGCAGAGGATGAGTTGTTTAGAATAGGAATAGGAATAGGAATGGAATAACAGAAGAATAGAATAGAACAGAACAGAACAGAAGAAAAGTAGAATAGGATAGGATAGAATAGGATGGAACAGAACAGATCAGATCAGATCAGATTAAGGAATATAATATAAAAGACCAAGGAATAGAACAGAACAGAACAGAACAGATTAAGGAATAGAATAGAACAGATTAAAGAATAGAATAGAACAGAACAGATCAGATTAAGGAATAGAATAGAACAGATTAAAGAATAGAACAGAACAGAATAGATCAGATTAAGGAATAGAATAGAACAGATTAAAGAATAGAACAGAATAGAATAGAACAGAACAGATTAAGGAATAGAATAG